GGTGGGGGGGAGAAGCGCTTTTAGGAGTACGATTTGGGTAAGTAAACCATCTCGTATCTGGCGAGTACATCGATTTTGGTGCCGATCCGTGTAAGTTATTTGATGTACGTGTTTTATTACCCATGTAAAACACCACACGTCTGAAGCAGGTGCTGAACTCTGAAGATGGCAGGATGTCGAACTTTGAAAAATGGGAATTTCGTGTATTTTGGGGTTTTTAAGTCGAACCTTTGGAGTGTTCCACTGATAGTGGGCATTCAGATATCACAAGTCTTCAAGACATCATGATGCCTGTAGCATAGTGCTGCGGACGGTGGGGCGTGTCGGGCGGGATGAGTTTGGCGCGGTGCCAAACCCGTTCTCCACCAGTTGTTGAAGCGAGCAAATGACAATGACTGTATCATATCGTTCGTATTACTCGTTTTCTACCACTTTTTGTCGCATGCGCGCTTCAACAAGAAGGGAGAACGGCTTAGACTTTGTGAACCTCACACTGCCTACACGCCCAACCGTCCGTAGCGAATTAGAGTGTATTTGTTTCTTCAAATATGTTATTATATTACATTTCTATCATATATTTCAGGCAGTAGTCGCTAACGCTCAAAATCCTACTCCTGCGTCAGTGATCCGCGAAAAAGAACCGGAAGCACCAAACCCGGGAAATATGTCCCACCATCGTTAAGAAACAGAAACTAAGCTGTTTGTTTACACGCTGAGCACACGCTCCGCACGGCGCCGTTCAGTTCAATGGCATACAATCATCAATGTAAGCTAATGTATCAGCTTGTTGTGATCAAGCTCTCATTTCCTGTTTCTTTTGCTTTCATTTCCTCCCCCTCTTTTATTTGCTCGTGGTTCATATATTCTATCTGTTGCATGCATTGTATTAGTTTATCACAAATTCTAGGTCGAACTGATTGTCTTCGAAGTGCCATCGTGCACGAAACGGTAACGTAGTATGTCATGCATCGGTGTTTCATAACATGAAAGTTGTGTCTTGCTGTTTTATTGGTATCGTTTGATTGATTCGTTTAGAGATATGCTAGGGTTAATGTTGTCTAGCCCTCTTTGTTTTTCTCTTGGTCTATCGCACGCGTTGTTTCCGCCCCGTCATCTTTGTTCATCATTGATTTATTGTAGTTTCAGAGATTTATGTGGATATATGTTCGTTCAGTTGTTTTCGCATCATTTTGTTCTCCTTTGACAGTATGTGAGTATACTGTATAGACGTCTTGGATCCATGTAGGGTCGCTCGCTGCCTCTATTTTTCAGCGGTGATGATTTGTTGCAGCAGAAATTTCCAATGAATATGGTGATGGAATTTTTTTAGAAGTGTTTATAATTGTGGTCTTAAAACCGAGCTATTCAGTTGCATATGAACTGAAATGTGTTCGAAGCTGTTCCACAACAGTGCATGTCGATGGCAGCGTTCCCAGTGCTTCCTTGGGGATCGTTTTGTGGGTCCATTAGGAGCCTATTGCCATAAATCGTCGTCGTTCTGGCAATTTTCGCTGTAACAAACAAATTCAAACTATAATCGAATCTATGACGGAAATCTTGTATCATCAATGGCTTTTGCCCGTGAAGCCGCTTTAGTGAGTGGATCGGCCGGATCACCACCCTGGATATCAGCGTGGAGATTGTAATCGTCGTCTAGCATTTCTTTTGCACGAACATACCTGCAATAAGGCAAAAGTTATATTCGTGCGGCAAAAGTTATATTCGTTAAAGTTATATTAGATGAGTAATACCAGTAGGACTAAAACTCAGCTTATAATCTTTTGAGTTCGGAAAATTGGCACTATTTACCCTTTCCTGCCCTAGTCATCCGGAATAGGGCCAGTTCCGTGATCGACTTTTTTTCTTGGATAGACTTGGCTCAAATGTTGTTCCGAGATAGTTTGAGGTTTTGAATACGAG